CTTGATTTTACATCTAATGGTAGTGTCTCATCTGTGATTGTATTGGGAAAAAGTTGTTTTTTAATAAAGTGAAGTTACTATTTAAAATTCCTTTGCTTCTAGTAAAAATTTGTGAAAATTATTTCATTAGAGATGCCACAAGTAGAAACTATACATTTTTTTTAATCTCACATATAATTACGAAGTTTATTTGAAAATTATTATCTAAACAATTTTTTTGTTAATTGAAAACATGATTTTACATATACAATCTACTTTAAAATTATATAGTTGCACAACATAATTTCAAGATTGTCACAAAGTGATAAATGTGATAAATCGAACTTCCATCATGCTGAAAATGAGACTGTCATTCAATATCCAATTGGTCTGATTGTACCGAATCATAATAAGTTTTTAGTTCAACTAACCCAACTTTTAATGCACCAAACATGACAAAAATATTTATAAGATTATCATGACAGCATAGGATAGGTACCAAAGGTATCATGGGAGCATCAGGAAATTTTCCCCGCCACAATATTACATCCATAAATTTTAATATATAAAGTTGTAGTAATATTTGCATAAAATTATGTAATATTTACACTTGATGTAATAATTGCATAATTTTTGCATGCTTATTTGCATAATATTATGGGCCCGCCATAAACTTATGTAAATAGTGTAATAATTATGTAAATCTGTGTCAGAAAAATTTCCTGATGAGTAAGAGGCTCAATTATAATTTCTTCCCCCAAAACAGCACCAGAGATTCCAAGCCATGGCCCAGCAAGATGCAAAAGGAAACAAGGATTAAGATATCTTTCACAGTCTGGCACTATTGAAATATATTTTCCATAAGAGCCACAAACTTGTCTGTGTGGATCACCTCCTCCCATTCCAAGTTCATTAATTGCTTCTAATATCAAAAGAGCACATTGACCCCCTCCAACAGTACAATTATCTGTAATTGAAAATGGATTCATCTCATATCCAAAAAGGTCATGCATCATATCTTGAAAAATTTCTTTTCTTTTATCTTCAATATGATAAACCTTTGCCAAGTGTTCAAGATATTCTATTACTCCACCCTCTCCACTTGTTTTATAATCTCTAATATCAATTTTCTTTGCTGAAAGTTTACTTTTGAAATTTCCAAAGATGTGATGACATATAGATATTGGAATTTTTGAACCATTTGGTTGGTAATTGCACATTGCATCAGGATCATATTCACATGTTTTAGAATAAGTTGATGGTAGTCTCATATTTACTACCTTTGTTTTTGCTTGGATCCATGTATCTTCTCCTATTTTTGAACAGATTATTAAAATACTGTAAAAGAAAACATCAATATAATTTCAAATGGTAAACAAGAAAATTTACCTTCAACTTTATGTTTTATTCCTGGAAGAAACAAGCAATAAGAAAATGAAATTAAGATATGTAAATAATAAATGATGGGAAATTGTTAAATATACTCAAATAATATTTACCTTTATTTTTCTCAACACCTCCTGTAATACCAAATAGAAAGCAGTAAATGGACAGAAACAAAGAGGTATAAATTAGTCAAAGTTGTATACAATATACCAAACAAACAAATAAATAAACAAAATGGAATAATTTTTTTACACAATTTGTTCATTACCTTTCCCTTCTCCACCAAACTCTCTTAACGCCTTTCCCCACTCCTTCACCTGCTCCTTCCAGTCATCCATGTTCTTCTTAATTCCTCCTCCTCCTTCTTTAACTTGACTATTTTATCTTCCCATCTTTTCTCTTGTTTTTCATCCCTGTATTCTCCCTTATCTAACTTCTCCTCCAACTTGTCTGATCTCTTCTGTTTATTCCCTTCTTCAAACTTCTTCAACTCCTCTTCTGCCTTTCTATAATCTTCTCTTGCTTTATTTAATTCACTTTCGATTTTCTCTTACATTGCCATTTTTTTTTTAGAATTAAAAAAATATTTTTTTATTGATTTAGATCATTACAATTAATTGTTTCTATAAATAATAATTTGGACCAATGATAAATTAGTGGGCACATGACTTGCAATTAATATTTGTATTTTCCTCGTTTTCATTATCTTCGTAATCTTCACTCTCCGCCTCTTTCTTCTTTTCCTTTTTGACACATTCCTGAATTGCTTCTATCGTTTTTCTTCTAGGATTGGTTTTCGTTGATAGAAGTTTTTTATTGTGGAAGCAGCAACTCCTTTTCCATCTCCTAGTAATTGGCGAATTTCGATGACCATTTCATTAAATGAAAAATCGGGATTCAGTTCAATCTTTTTGTCAAATAATTGTTTGTAATCCTTCCATAGATGTTCGATTTCATTTGAATGTTTTTTATCACTAGTAAGTTTGTTTATTTTATTTTTGAGTTGACTCTTTCTTGGTTCTATTTTATTGATTATTTGATTGTTTTTAAACCAAAATAAAATTGTTTAATGATGATTATTAGAAGAATTTGTTATTTGAATTTTTTTACCTGAAATTAAGTGAATTGGTAATGTTTTTATAATGTTCCAATAAAAGGCGAGATAATTTACCTTGTTTCAATGTCAATGAGAGAAAAACAAAGACTTATAAAACATATCCTTGAATGTAGTAGAATTTGTTCAAAACTCAAATTGGACAGAAAACAAATGCGTGAGACGCGTTTAAATTGCATAAAAAAATATCTGGTTTTTTTTGTTACACACTGTATATATATATATAGCTATAAAGAAATACCTCTATAATAAAACTCCACAGGTATTGACATATTAGAGATGCCACATGTTTAAACAACAATCTATGCTTGATTTTACATCTAATGGTAGTGTCTCATCTGTGATTGTATTGGGAAAAAGTTGTTTTTTAATAAAGTGAAGTTATTATTTAAAATTCCTTCGCTTCTAGTAAAAATTTGTGAAAATTATTTCATTAGAGATGCCACAAGTAGAAACTATACATTTTTTTTAATCTCGCATATAATTACGAAGTTTATTTGAAAATTATTATGTAAACAATTTTTTTGTCAATTGAAAACATGATTTTACATATACAATCTACTTTAAAATTATATAGTCGCGCAACATAATTTCAAGATCGTCACAAAGTGATAAATGTGATAAATCGAACTTCTATCATGCTGAAAATTTACTGATTTTTTGTTTTTTAACAAAATAAAAATTCACAATGTCAAATTCTATTCCTTCTCAATTGTCATCACCACCACATAATGTTGACTTAAACTCAGATAATATATCTGAAAATTCATTCAACAATAACCAACATTTAGCAGGATGTCCTATATCTGATGTATGGTCACATTTGTTAAAGGAGAGGAAAAAACAAAAGGACATTACTCAGCATCTTGTAAATATTGTCCAAAAACTTGGAATTGTGGAACACCTTTTAAACTCAAAGCTCATTTAGCAAATGAATGCCCTAGTTGTCATTATTCTATTTCTCATTTTTATTTAGATGGAATTAATCAACAAAGCAGTAAAATAGTCAAAAAACAAAATGCTCAAACCCCTTTGTCAAAATTTTATGAAAGCGCTGTTCTAACTGATCAAAGAAAATATTCAATTAATAAATCATTATTATTGGCTTTCATCTGTTGTGGTATACCATGGAATGTAGTTGAAAATCCATTTTTTATAGAACTTTTAAAACAATTAAGACCTGCATATGAACCTTCTTCTCGTAAATACTTATCAGAAAAATTACTTATAGATGAAACTTCATTAATTAATTCACAATTAAACACAATCTTTGATTCAAATGATAATTTAACATTAGCATTGGATGGTTGGTCTGATCCTAGATGCAATTCAATTTGGAATTTTTTAATATATACATCAAACAGACAACAATATTTATTTTCTGTGGAAAATCTTTCTCATAGTAGCCACACAGGTCAGTTTCTTGCTGAAAAAATTAAAGAAATCTTGATAAAAATAGGTCCACAAAAATTTGGGGCAATAGTAACTGACAATGGATCTAATGTTAAATTAGCTAGAGAAATAATTTCCAAAGAATTTCCTCATATATTTAATCTTAGGTGTATTGCACACTGTGTGAATTTAATTTCTAAAGATTTCCTTCAACATTCTTTTGCAAAAAATCATCTTTCGTTATGTAATAGAGTAATTAAGTTTTTCAAAAAATCTCATCAAGCTAATAATATACTTAATCATTATATTAATAATAATAATATTGCTGGTGGGGGTTAAAAAAATATTGCAAGACTCGATGGACATCTGCCTATGATACTTTGTCATCATTTGCATGTTTAGAGTCATGTTTTATTTTAATTTTGACAGAAAATGGTGATCTAATTCCAAATCCAATTAAGAAAATTTTGAGGAGATTCAATTTTTTTAGTAATGTTCGAAATCTTTCTTACATTTTCAAACCAATGAAAGATTCTGTAACAGTTTTGCAATCAGAAAATACAAATCTTGCTGATTGTTATCTACATCTTGTTAAGTTAGCTGTTTCAATTAAAAGAAATTCAATCAATACAAATTCTAATTTTAAAAAATTTTGTACTAGTAAATTTAATTTACAATGGAAAGAATTCAATCACACAGGATATTTATTAGCATATTTTTTGCATCCAGGTTACAAAGGGATTGGAATTAAATATGGTCAATTTCAAAATGTTGCAGAAATTGCAGCAACTTATTGGAAATCTATGCAAAAATCAAAAAAATCTTGTACAGAATTGCTTTCTCAACTGCGGAAATATAGATTACAACAAAGACCTTATAACATAGCATATAATAACCAACATGATAATCCACTTTCATGGTGGTATACTTGTGAAGATAACTATGATCATCTGCAACAACTAGCAATTAAATTATTCTCAGTTGTTCCACATAGTGGTGGATGTGAATGTATTTTTTCATATTTAGGACGACTTTATGGAAAGAATCATCAAAATTTAAATATTAATTCCATAAACAATATTGCTAAGATTCATTCTTTTTACCTAAGCAATGTTAAAAAAGAACTAAAATATACTGGCCAGATTTTATCAGAAAAGGATTTAAAGAGTATGTTAATTGAAGCAGAGGTTAATTTGAATGATGATGAGAGTGATGATGATGAAAGTGATAATAATAATGATTATATTGATGATAATAGCAATGATGAGGATGACAATTATGAGGAAGAAAATTTAGAAATTCATGATATTATGGATTTAGAAAATAATTTTTTTTTAGAAGATGATGGATTAAGTGAGAAGGATATGGAATTAGAAAACAGCAATAGTTACAATGATGATAATAATTCTGATTACGATCCATTAGAATTAGTTCAAGAATCAATGAATGAGAAATTATTGATGGAAATAATAAATGAAGAAGCATTTCAACCATCAGAAGAAACTCAACTGTTATTAAATGATTCTACGGTTTCTGAAGAAGATTGTGAAATTGACAATGAATGTGAAGCAACAATTTTACATACATATCCAATTAAGCAACACAATTTACGACGTAAAAAAAATGTTTAAAAGATATGTTTCATTTAAATATAAATAAATTCAAATTTTGTACTTTTGTCATTTTTGTCATTTTTGTCATTTTCGTCATTTTCGTCATTTTCGTCATACATTTTGACTTTCGTCACGCGTGACGAAAATACCTCCCATTTGACGAAATATTTTTACACTCCAAAATATTTTCGTCACCCAACCTTGCTCAAAATACGATAATTTTCGTGTTACAATATTTTGAATCTTATGACCAAATTTGGTAATGATTTTTTTTTAATGTAATATGTTCGTTTGTTGTAAAATAACCAGTCACAAAAAAAAAACTCACAAACAACTAGAATATGGAGAGCTAGAGATTATTATAATTTAATAGTGAACATGATGAACTCGCTAAGCATAAAGTTTGTTCCAATAATCGAAAAGAGAAAATGTTCAAACATAATAACTCTACAAGTAATCTTTCCCGAAATGAGCTTAATTATCATTATGCTCATTAGATTCATCATCATCTGTATCACTATTTGCATCAATTTTCATTAAAGGAATGCTTTTTATGAATATTATCAGCAATTAAAGGGAATTAAATGGTTTGATTTATTGCACACATATTAGAAGGTATTTCTTCACTGCGGTATAGATTTATTTTTACTGTTAAATCATATATAGAGATGTGATCTGTGGATGATCAATTCGGATATCTGTAAAACAATCCGGATGGACGAACGGCTTTTTTAAAATGTTAACGGATTGCGAATTGGAATTTTATGTTTAGAAATTATTATTATAGCATGAGCAATTAAAGGATGACGGATCACATCTCTAAATATGTAATGAGGTCCTTTTTGCTGGAGCATTGCATACTCCATTGTCTGAAAATTTCCAAAAATGATGCGGTAACACTAACTAATGTATTAGCAGTATACTGTTGCTAATATATTTTATAAATAATTTTACCCTTATATTACCTGTAAAAACTTGGGCATTTTTTAAAGTAAGCATTATTACTATTAATTCTACTTATAGCTCAGCAGGGAACTATATTAGATGTGTTTATATAAAAAATTACTGGGGTCCTGTTTAAGATTTCTGGCCGAAACTGCTTCTATTAGTAGCCGAAATTGCCCAAATACTTTAGGCAAAAATTATGTTTTTATAAGCCCAAACTACTTTTTTTTATTAGCCGAAAGTTGTTTAAGTTAAAACAAGTTGATTCATATAGTTTTTTAATGTTCATGCTTATAAAAAATGTTGAAAAGCCCAAATTACCCAAACTAGTTTGGGCTTTGAGAAACCAGAAACCTTAGTCCTGTTACAGTATTAGTATGACAAGTAAACCTAAGTGCTGCAAATGTACTTGTTTGACATTCACTTCCATACACATTAATAGTCCATAGTATATTTCAGCTATTATAATAATAATCTTTGTTTATTGTAACCTTCAATAATCACTTTTATTAAAATGATTTATTTTAAATGCTCACATATTAATTATTAATATATTTTCCAATAAATAAATAATAAACTTAGGGGGATGTTGGAATCTACCAATTTTAATAAATTAAAAAATAATCTTAGTGGAGTTGACATAATCAATACCATAATATTATTAACGAAATGGAGTATTAGGATAAGATGGAGTATTAGGGTAAGATGGGGTATTAGGATAAGGTGAGATATTAGGATAAGGTGAGGTATTAGGATAAGATAGGGTATTAGGATAAGGTGGAGTATTAGGATAAGATAGGGTATTTCTATGTTCAAGCTGTTGATCACTAGGAATTTCTAAGATTTCACTTGGAGTTGCATTTTTTTTATTTCTATATTTTACAATCATGAATGTTGCTATTCCAACTAATATTACTCCAACTAAAATTGCAATTACTATTATTAATATTTGAAAAGTGTTTAATGATGTATCTGATCCTGGTGATAGTGCTGCAGGTACTGAATAACTTTCCTTCCAAGTAAAATCTTTAATATCAAGTATATAAGTTTTTGCAGTAGATGATATTGGACCTGAAACATTATTTGTAACATTTCCTATATATGTATGTAATTAATTAATTAATTATTAATTAACTTCAAAGTTGAAAAAACAAAAAAATTTTAAAAAGTAAAAATATACCAAAACTTATTATCATTTGATCTCCAATTAAATTAGCTGAATGGCGTGTTACAGGTAGGGCACGATTAACATTTGAAAAATTAGGTGCTGACCATTGAAAAGGATTTGTGGTTGTATTTAGCACCAGAAGTTCAGGAAATGAAGTGGATTCTACAGGCCATCCACTACCACCATAAACAATTATCCTTCCATCCTTTGCTATGCAATATATATAATTTTAGTATGTTTTTTAAAAAAATTCTAAAAAATTTTAAATTAAAAATTTATTACAAAGTACAGCTGAATGACCATTTCGAGATTGGATTTGTGATGGTCCACTTGCTATCTAAAATTTTCAACAAGGTGTAAGAAAATTTGAAATAAATTGTTTTTTTTTCATAAAGAATCTAGTAAACTTTATATTTTAATTGATTAAATATTTACCATAATTGTCCAAGTTGAATTACTTGTATCAAAAATTTTTATCTATAAAATGAATATATTAATATTTTATTTCATAATCAATATTTTCTATACAAAATCTATAAAATAAATGCATACTCTATACATGTCAACCGGAATTGAAGGTCCTCCATTCCTCTCTCTTCCACCAATAATTACAATTCTACCATCAGGCAATAAAGTTGTTGTATGATCATAAGTTGCCAATGGTGGGTTGGTAGTTCCAGAGACTAAACTCCAAGTCAGGTCTACTGTATTCAAAATATACATATCATTAAAGCTTTGAAAGGTAGGAGATCCAGTAGGTTTATCTGCTAATCCACCAAAAATATACATTTTTCCTTTATCATCTGCAACAGCACTACTTTCTCTACGATTAATCATAGGTGCAGTACCAGTTGTTTTTGGAGTACTCCAAACTTTTGTATTTACATCATATGCATAAAGCAAGTTGGTGAAATCATAACTATCACTAATTTGATTTACCATAATTCCACCAAATAAAAAAATTGTTGATTTATTTGATCCACCAATTACACCTACAGACCAAGCATTTCCTATAGGTAGTTTGTCATTTTCTACCCATGGTATATTTGTAACATCAAAATTTTTAGTTAAATCCACATAAAAAAATGAATCTGTTGTAATTACTGCCTTTTCTAAGCTTATACCTCCAAGAGTGTAAAGTTTATTATCCACCACTACACTAACAGCTGCATAACGTGTTGCACTATAATCAGAAAATGCATTATTAATAATAAATATTATAACAAATATTAATTGAAGTTTGCTATTTTTGAAATTCAAGCCCATTGATTATTATCTTTTAAATATTATGTATGTTTTATCAATTATTTTGCTTACTACAATTAATTTTTGCAAAAATATTTATCATTAAAAGTATATTATTTTTTAAATGAATATATATATATATACAAAAAAAACGTAAATATTTATACATGTCTTACGTAAATTTTTGATACAACATACAAATAGATTATCGTTTAAAAAAAATTGTATTTCACCAATGATATTGGTGTTGTTATATTTCTTTATTTTCAATTGGATAGAAATTGGACTATTAATATATATTTAAAAGGGGAATATTAATGTACACACATGCTGTTGATCCATAATTCATTTGTTTGTTGCTATTACATTGTTCAAATATTTCCTAGAATTTAACGTGATGAATACTAATACACAAACTAGTTTGTGGTTTAGGTCCTGTAAATTACGCATGTAAAGTTTGAATTAATTTTTTTTTCAAATAATCGAATTTCCTTTATTTAATTAATAAATGATATGGAAACTCAGGAAACACGAGATTTGCATTCGTATTATACAGGCAGGACCTAGGCTACAAGCTGATATTTTTTTTACTTATTATGTGCGTTTTTGCGCAATTGATACATGGGTTGCCCCAAATTTTTTGCTGTAGTGTACGCATCATTCAATCGATTCAATAAAATTCCACTAAAATAAATAAGCAAATGATCGAATTTCGAATAGATTGTTCAAAAACAATGCTATTTTCTGGTCACAACATTGATAACGTGTTGCTCTATAATCAGAAAATGCATTATTAATAATAAATATTATAATGAATATTAAACGAAGTTTGCTATTTTTGAATTCAAGCCCATGGATTATTATTGTATGTTTTATCAATTATGTGCTATTACTATAATTAATTATTGCAAAAGTATTTATCATTAAAAGAATTGCATTGATATTTTTTTTTTTTAAAATGAATATATATACAAAAAAAAACGCAAATATTTGTACATGTTGTATGTGTATTTGGAATTAAATTTTTTGACACACAACATACAATAAAAAAAATTTGCTTTTCACCAATGATGTTGTTAATTAGTATGACAAGTAAACCTCAGTGCTGTAAATGTTCTTGCCTAATGTTCATTTCTATACACATTAATAGCCAATAGTATAGTTCAGCTATTATTATAATAATCTTTTGTTTATTGTAACCTTCTAAACTTTCTTTAAAAAGGTCTCAATAATCACTTTTATTAAAATGATTTATTTTAAATGCTCACATATTAATTATTAATATATTTTCCATGAAATAAATAATAAACTTAGGGGGATGTTGGAATCTACCAATTTTAATAAACTAAAAAAATAATCTTAGTGGAGTTGACATAATCAATATTATAATATTATTAACGAAATGGAGTATTAGGATAATATGGAGTATTAGGGTAAGATGGGGTATTAGGATAAGATAGGGTATTAGGATAAGATAGGGTATTTCTATGTTCAAGCTGTTGATTACCAGGAATTTCTAAGATTTCACTTGGAGTTGCTTTTTTGTTATTTCTATATTTTACAATCATGAATGTTGCTATTCCAACTAATATTACTCCAACTAAAATTGCAATTACTATTATTAATATTTGAAAAGTGTTTAATGATGTTATTGATGTTGATGTATCTGGTTGTGGTGTTGTTGGTGGTGTTGTTGGTGGTGTTGATGTATCTGATCCTGGTGGTGTTGTTGTTGGTGTTGGTGTTGATGGTGTTGGTGATGGTGATAGTGCTGCAGGTACTGAATAACTTTCCTTCCAAGTAAAATCTTTAATATCAAGTATATAAGTTTTTGCAGTAGATGATTTTGGACCTGAAACATTATTTGTAATATTTCCTATATATGTATATGTAATTTATTAATTAATTATTAACTTCAAAGTTGAAAAAATAAAAAATTTTTAAAAAGTAAAAATATACCAAAACTTATTATCATTTGATCTCCAATTAAATTAGCTGAATGATATGTTACAGGTAGGGCACGATTAACATTTGAAAAATTAGGTGCTGACCATTGAAAAGGATTTGTGGTTGTATCTAGCACTAGAAGTTCAGGAAGTGCAGTGGTTCCTACAGGCCATCCACTACCACCATAAACAATTATCCTTCCATCCTTTGCTATGCAACATATATAATTTTAGTATATTTTTTAAAAAAAATTCTAAAAAATTTTAAATTAAAAATTTATTACAAAGTACAGCTGAATGACCATCTCGAGATTGGATTTGTGATGGTCCACTTGCTATCTAAAATTTTCATCAAGTGTAAGAAAATTGAAACTAAATTGTTTATTTTTCATAAAGAATCTAGTAAACTTTATATTTTAATTGATTAAATATTTACCATAATTGTCCAAGTTGAACTACTTGTATCAAAAATTTTTATCTATAAAATGAATATATTAATATTTTATTTCATAATCAATATATTCTATACAAAATCTATAAAATAAGTGCATACTCTATACATGTCAACTGGAATTGAAGGTCCTCCATTGCTCTCTCTTCCACCAATAATTACAATTCTACCATCAGGTAATAAAGTTGTTGTATGATCATAAGTTGCCAACGGTGGGTTGGTAGTTCCAGAGACTAAACTCCAAGACAGGTCTACTGTATTCAAAATATACATATCATTAAAGCTTTGAAAGGTAGGAGATCCAGTAGGTTTATCTGCTAATCCACCAAAAATATACATTTTTCCTTTATCATCTGCAACAGCACTACTTTCTCTACGATTAATCATAGGTGCAGTACCAGTTGTTTTTGGGGTACTCCAAACTTTTGCATTTACATCATATGCATAAAGCAAGTTGGTGAAATCATAACTATTACTAATTTGATTTACCATAATTCCACCAAATAAAAAAATTGTTGATTTATTTGGTCCACCAACTGCACCTACAGACCAAGAATTTCCTATAGGTAATTTGTCATTTTCTACCCATGGTATATTTGTAACATCAAAATTTTTAGTTAAATCCACATAAAATAATGAATCTGTTGTAATTACTGGCTTTTCTAAGCTTATACCTCCAAGAGTGTAAAGTTTATTATCCACCACTACACTAACAGCTGCATAACGTGTTGCACTATAATCAGAAAATGCATTATTAATAATAAATATTATAACAAATATTAATTGAAGTTTGCTATTTTTGAAATTCAAGCCCATTGATTATTATCTTTTAAATATTATGTATGTTTTATCAATTATTTTGCTTACTACAATTAATTTTTGCAAAAGTATTTATCATTAAAAGGATATTTTTTAAATGAATATGTATATATATACAAAAAAAACGTAAATATTTGTAAAAATATTTATCATTAAAAGGATATTTTTTAAATGAATATGTATATATATACAAAAAAAACGTAAATATTTGTACATGTACGTGAATTTGAAATTAAATTTTTTTTTGACATAACATACAAATGGATTATCGTTAAAAAAAATTGTATTTCACCAATGATATTGGTGTTGTAATATTTCTTTATTTTTACTCAAATTTTTAATTGGATAGAATTGGACTATTAATATAATTTAAAAAGGGGAATATTAATGTACACACATGCTGTTATACATAATTCATTTGTTTGTTACTATTACATTTCCTAGAATTTAACGTGATAAATACTATTACACAAACTAGTTTATGGTTCAGGTCCTGTAAATTACGCATGCAAAGTTTGAACTAAATTTTTTTTCAAATAATCGAATTTCCTTTATTTAATTTATAAATGATATGGAAACTCAGGAAACACGAGATTTGCATTCGTATTATACAGGCAGGACCTAGGCTACAAGCTGATATTTTTTTTACTTATTATGTGCGTTTTTGCGCAATTGATACATGGGTTGCCCCAAATTTTTTGCTGTAGTGTACGCATCATTCAATCGATTCAATAAAATCTATTCGAATCCACTAAAATAAATAAACAAATGATCGAATTTCGAATAGATTGTTCAAAAACAATACTATTTAAATTAACTACCTTAATTTAATTTAGTACCAAAGAAACAACGATTTTACAGTTGTAGAAGCTAATGCCATTACAAGAATGGAAAAAAATAACAATAACAAAATGTTTTTTTTTAATCTCCACCTAACTGCCTTTATAATAATAAAAGCTTACAAATATATTACCTTCACTCATTGAAAGTTGCAATTTAGGAAAGTCAATTTAACTGAATCTTCCAAAACAAATGAAATAAAGGTAAAAATTCTATATGATTAAATTATATTATTTAATGCAAAAAATTATAATAATATAACTACATATGTAAACTTGATAAGTCGGTCATGTGGGGGTGAGCTCATATGACCGACTTATCGAGTAAACCGACTTATCGAATTAAATTACTTAAATATTAAGAAAATGGGGTGAAAATTTTGGCCGACTTATCGAGTTTACATATGTATTACTATCTGATTGGGCATGATAATTCGAATATTTGGTTTTTAATATTAATATTAATATTAATAAAGTAAAGATTTTCAGCGAATTTAATTGACGATTCTTGATGGAAACACCACAATCTTTGCCTCATAAAAAAAAGGTGTGAAGAAACTCACGATCGACTATAATGTGGAGAGCCAGATATTATTATAATTTAATAGGTGAAAATGATGAATTTGCTAAGCGTAAAGTTTGTTCCAATAATCGAAAAGAGAAAATGTTTAAGCATAATAACTTTACAAGTAATCTTTCCCGAAATGAGCATGATTATCATTATACTCATCAGATTCATCATCATCCGTATCACTCACAAATTTCATTAAAGGAATGCTTTTTATGAATATTATCAGCAATTAAAGGGTGATTAAGTAGTTGATTTAATGTATTAGAAGGTATAATTTCTTCACTATATTTATTTTTACCCTTTTTGTGGCTTAAATCAAAATATGTAATAAGGGTCTTTTTTTGCTGTGAGCATTCTTCATTGTCTGGAAAGTAAAAAAATTTCCAAAAATGATGCGTTACTAATGTATTAGTAGTATACTGTTGCTAATATATTTTATAAATAATTTTGCCCTTATATTAGCCGGGACGCAAAAAAACTTTACCTGTAAAAACTTGGGCATTTTTTAAAGCATGCTATAGCTTAGCCGGGAACTTATATTAGATGTGCATATTTAAAAAATTATTGGGATCCTGTTACAGTATTAGTATGACAAGTAAACCTCGGTGCTGAAAATGTTTCTTGCTTGACATTCATTTCTATACACATTAATAGCCCATAGTATATTTCAGCTATTATAATAATAATCTTTTGTTTATTGTAACCTTCTAAACTTTCTTTAAAAAGGTTTCAATAATCACTTTTATTAAAATGATTTATTTTAAATGCTCACATATTAATTATTAATATATTTTCCAAGAAATAAATAATAAACTTAGGGGATGTTGTAATCTACCAATTTTAATAAATTAAAAAAATAATCTTAGTAAAGTTGACATAATCAATATCATAATATTATCGAGTTGGAGTAGTAGGATAAGATAGGGTATTTCTATGTTGAAGCTGTTCATCATTAGGAATTTCTATGATTTCACTTGTATTTTTTTTCTTTCTATATCTTACAATCATGAATGTTGCTATTATAACTAATATTATTCCAACTAAAATTACAATTACTATTATTAATATTAGAAAAGTGTTTGATGATGTTATTGATGTTGATGTATCTGGTTTCGGTATTGATGGTGTTGTTGGTGTTGGTGTTGATGGTGATTGTGCTGCAGGTACTGAATAACTTTCCTTCCAAGTAAGATCTTTAATATCAAGTATATAAGTTTTTGCAGTAGGTAATTTTGGACCTGAAACATTATTTGTAATATTTCCTACATACATATGTAATTTAGTAATTAACTTCAAAGTTGAAAAAATAAAAAGTTTTTTAAAAAGTAAAAATATACCAAAACTTATTATCATTTGATCTCCAATTAAATTAGCTGAATGCCATCTTACAGGTAGGGCGCGATCAACATTTGAAAAATTAGGTGCTGACCATTGAAAAGGATTTGTGGTTGTATCTAGTACCAAAAGTTCAGGAAGTGCAGTGATTTCTACAGGCCATCTACTACCACCATAAACAATTATCCTTCCATCCTTTGCTATACAACATATATAATTTTAGTATTTTTTAAAAAAAAATCTAAAAAATTTATTACAAAGTACAGCTGAATGTCCAATTCGTGATTGGATATCTAATGAACCATTTGCTATCTAAAATTTTCATCAAGGTGTAAGAAAATTTGAAATAAGTTGTTTTTTTTTATAAAGAATCCTGTAAACAATTGATTAAATATTTACCATATTTGACCAAGTTGAACTATTTGTATCAAAAATTTTTATCTATAAAATGAATATATTAACATGAGATATTATTTTACTTTATGATAAATATTTTCATACAGATGTATAAAATAAATGCATACTTTATACATGCTAAACATAATTGCAGCTCCTTCCTCTCTTCCACCAATAATTACAATTCTACCATCAGGTAATAAAGTTGATGTATTATCATAAGTTGCCAATGGTGGATTAGTTGCAGAGACTAGACTCCAAGTCAGGTCTATTGTATTCAATGTATACATGTCATTAAAAATTCGAACAGTAGGAGATCCAGTAAATTTATCTACTAATCCACCAAAAATATACATTTTTCCTTTATCATCTGCAACAGCACTACTTCCTCTACGATTAATCATAGGTGCAGTACCAGTTGTTTTTGGAGTACTCCAAACTTTTGTATTTACATCATATGCATAAAGCAAATTGGTGAAATCAGATTTATCAGTAATTTGATTTCTCATAATTCCACCAAATAAAAAAATTGTTGATTTATTTGATCCACCAACTGCACCTACAGACCAAGCATTTCCTATAGGTAATTTGTCATTTTCTACCCATGGTACATTTGTGACATCAAAATCTTTAGTTAAATCCACATAAAATAATGAATCTGTTGTAAATACTGTCTTTTCTAAGCTTATACCTCCAAGAACGTAAAGTTTGTTATCCACTACTACACTAACAGCTGCATAACGTGTTGCACTATAATCAGAAAATGCATTATTAATAATAAATATTATAACAAATATTAATTGAAGTTTGCTATTTTTGAAATTCAAGCCCATTGATTATTATCTTTTAAATATATCAATTATGCGCTATTACTACAATTAATTTTTGCAAAAATATTTATCATTAAAAGGAATTTCATTGATATTATTTTTTAAATGAATATATACAAAAAAAAACGCAAATATTTGTACATGTCGTGAATTTAAAAATTAAATTTTTTTGACACAACATACAAATAGATTATCGTTAAAAAAAATTGTATTTCACCAATGATATTGGTGTTGTAATATTTCTTTATTTTACTCAAATTTTTTGATAGAATATTAATATTAATATTAATATACATGCTGTTGATCATTTGTTTGTTACTTTGTTTTCATTGTTCAAATATTTCATATTAAATACACACATTAGTTTGTGGTGGTTTAGGTCCTGTAAATTACGCATGCAAAGTTTGAATTAAATTTTTTTTCCAAATAATCGAATTTCCTTTATTTAATTAATAAATGATACGGAAACTCAAGGAAACATGGAATTTTGCTTGCATGTTCTACAGGACCTAGGCTACAAGCTGTATTTTTCTGTGTACTTATTATACAATATCTAATCATTGATTGATTAAAATAATTTTCACGCATTTAAATAATAATTATTTCGAATAAAAAAAATGCCATTTAAATTGACTACTACTTGTGATTATTAATTTAATCATTAGCATAAAAAAAAACAAACGATTTCACAGTTATTGAAACTAGTAGCATTACATGAGTGGAAAAAAATAACAATAACAAAAATGCCATTTCTAATCTCCGCCTAACCGCATTTATAATAATAATAAAAAGCACACAGATACAGTACCTTCATTTGTTGATGAGTTAGTGGAAGTGCAATTTAACTGAATTTTCCAAAAACAAATGAAATAAAGATGAAATTTTTATACGATTAAATTATATATTATTGAATGCAAAAATTGCTACTTTTTGTCGCAAAAAACTTCTACCTATGAAAAACCTGGGGAAAACTAACTACAAGAGCAATTTTGGGATAAATTGAAAGAAACGGAAGGAATAAACAAATGAGGGATTATAATGATATTGATGATAAAGGAGATTTGAAAAAAAAAAATAGTGTAGGAATTAATTGCATCTAATTGTTTTTTCAATTTTAATTTTCGAAAAGAAAAAATATGGTTACGATGGTGATGATTATATTATAATGGTGGTGAAGACAATGAAAGCAAAGATAAAAAAGTACAAATATATTTGCTCAATATATTGTTATTCAAAGGAACTAGCGATTAAAAATTTTCTTTAGATACGTATGTAATTACAATGAAGATGGACAAAAGGAACAAAAGAAATTGAATACACTGAAACAACTGAAATGGTCAATAATGATGTATATATATATTGATTTCTTTTGGACAAAGTACAAGTAAGGCTCGAACGAATCAATGAAATTCGAATCGAATCATCTAATTTTTGATTCATTTCATTCGGATCGAATTCGATTCAAATATGAGTTGTATTTTGATTCGACTGATTCGAATCTATAGCAATCATTAGTTATATTTATTAATGTAAATTTTATTCGTCATTAATATCATTATTGTTATCAATTAATATTATTATTATTTAGTGGCCGAAATTGCCTTAATTGGCCTAAACTTGGGCGAAACTAATTTTTAATAATAAGCTGAAATTGGGCGAAATTATTTTTTACCATAGTATTGGGCGAAACTACCTTTTTCAAAAATAGTTTCGACCACCATCACTAAATAATATCCTTTATCAATTAAAAAAAAATTTTAAAATTTAAAAATACACACAATCTTTTCCAAAAATCCGTTATTATTATTATTATTATTATCAAGAAATTCGTTATATTGAGAAGAATTTTATTATTAATATATTTTTAGTTTATTATCGTTATTAAACCATTCTTGGACCTTAATCCATTAAAATCGAGGTACACTAAATTGAAATACTGTTATACTTTTTTCCATCCATCTTTCTGATCTAGATATAGGTGCATGAGACAGTTGGGGCATGTTAATGATTGTTATATTGCGTAAAATTAACAAGGTCTTTACAAATTCGATTACAATATCCTTATCTGCTAATTGCACAGGAATTTCCGCTGATTGTAAACTACAATATCGATGAATATTTCCAACATTCATGATAAGGACATTTAGATGAAACAGATTCCCAGCCACTTGAAGTCCAATAATCCCAAACTCTCTTTTATCGGGTTTACGGGTCTTACGAGCCCAGTACATCCCATCGTTAGTTTGTCGCCATAACTTTATCCTATCATTAATTTTTTTTCTTTCAGTACAAATCAAACGTGAGCATTCAGTGTACATTAACTAATAAATCCTATCTCCGGATTTGATTTTGAACATCGTATCAGGTCTTCTCCCCAATTTATCTTCTCCTTTCCTATCTGCACTCGCTACACTCTGACGTTCCGAGCTGAAGAAAAATATAATTATTATATACAATTTTTTCTTTATAAAAAATAATCAAAAATTCAAAACTTACGTGCTAATAAATGAAGACTTGCTAAAAGGGATGTTTTTTAGCGAGGCCCTAATTGCAGGAACTATAACATTTGTTACATATGTACACTCATTAAGCATTCCCACGAACTCAGAGCCAAAAGCCGAGTTATTCCACGAATATCTCAGAGAACTGAGGATATTTATTGCAAATTCTGCAAGAACTTTCTCCGATTCTACCCAGGACCATTGTGTGCCAATTTATCAAGCGAAACTTCCGTTTAATCTTTGACAAAACTTAATATTAATATAAATTCTTCACATATTTTTTCTACCGCTGATGGGAAGAGATAGGCATTATCCAACGAGCCGGTTTCTATAGTTAATTGGTTAAATAATGCGTTTGTGTACGTCTTTAAAAAAAAAGTAAAATACTCACCATAAAATTGTTATATAAATTTTTTGGTAGCTTTCGTATTATTTCCAAGTCGTCACTAATGACTTTACTTCCAAGTGGACAATTCAGAAATAGATATGTTAACTAAATCTTTAAGTAAACGTTTATAGAGAGGCGATTTCCTCTCTCAGATATTTTTCTAGATGAGCGATATTTGAGTTAACTCAAATGTAAATCAAACACAAATCAAATATCTATAAAAACTTACCGCAAGTGTCGATTTTAGATCTGTAAAGTTAGTCACAATTTCCTTTAAACTGTAAGCTTTTTCTTTTCCCTTTATAAGAAAAATTAGCATATTTTGAAAGATTAGTAAATATCATAGCGAGAAGCAAAACATGCCATTTTTAGTGCTCCAATAACTCGTAAATTGCAGACCCCTTTGAAAGCATCATCAAACTAGTGCAAAAATACTATGAGTTAGATCATGATCCCTATTACAAATTTGTATTTTTGACCATTATGCAATCTATCAAATAGTTACAAAGTTGCATCGTATGGTCATCACGCAAAACGGTCTTTGTATAATATTAAAATAACAACATAGAAACTTGCATGTAAATACAGTTTAATCACCCTTCCACATTTCCAATGATTATACCCTACTCATGTGCTATGGGACAACTAAACTGTTATGTTCGCTTCCTCAGAGTTATACAGTATTTGCACCATTCATCATTCCAGTACCAATGACCATTATTTCAAAAAAAGCTTAATAACTAACCTGAGCGAGAATCTTTAAAAGTTTATTTGTTGCCGATATATTTTGTGAATATATATTGGTTGAAGAATTAATGGCATTGTTCACTATTGTTCTTGATTTTTCTTTGAAATCCAGGGTTCCTCCTCTATAACTTGATAAATAATGGAGACTGCAGTTATATGATTCAAGGGAGAATTTGTGAGAAAATCATATATAGACCTTTGTGTATAATTCAGTAGGCATTTTTTATATACTTGGTTTAAAGAATAAAATGAATATAGTTAATGATAACAGAATTGCTATAAAAACAATGAATATTTATCATTTGAAATACTGCCACTTTTAAACGTTTTTCTTCTACGCCTTCTTCTTATTGAATGAATAATGTAGGAGATAAAGCAATGCAAATGTGTATTCACACCAAGAATTCCTCTCACAAAGAAAATGAATACACATGAATGCTAATTAATCGAATTTGGTTAATCGCACAAATAAACATGACTCAATAGGCAACATTTGATTATAAACATTCTTGATGTCATTACAGTCATTCTTGCATTCCTTGTGTAAATAAGGCTAACATGACTTGCAATATCCGATGATTGATGATGATGCAATTGAATTCCAGGGGGATATTGCTCTGCTCTGTAATTTATCAAGATTGCATCATTTCAAAGGCACACTGTGCAGATCCAACCTATTATTTGTAATGACCTCAACAAGTTGCAACTAGTTAGTTGTAATGTTGGGGAATTTTGCAATTCAGTTGGGGAAGTTTTTGTATGTCTTTGAAAAAAGTCTTCTGATGTGTCACCGGACTTTATTCTGGGAAGCTATCTTCACATTGTAAGGGATAGGTGCAAGCTTGTGATAGGATAATTTATTAAATTTGACACTTGTGATCATCACCAGATTTATTATTTGTAAGGTACTATATGAGACAGGGAATTTTCTTTTTGATCCTCCAGTCAATCTGGTCCAATGGAGGAGTAGACTTGTTTGTTTTTGTATTTACCCAGCAACTTGGGTAAATACACATATTTTTTTGAAATTGGATTCTTTAAAAAAAGAGGTTTCATTGCTTATTACCTGGATGATGCAATTGTTTGTTATTTCAATGATAACGTCAAAGTTATCATCATGAATATATAATGGATGCATGTATTCACATATATGAGGAAAGGATTAAATACCAACAAAAGGCTAAGTCATTTTTATAATTAATTATATTTGTTTTATTCCACTCTTGCAATGAATGGTGATATTAATCTGAAATCACTTGTTTATTTAGCATTAATGATTGAATCAATCACACAAATGGTAGTCAATTTAAATGCATTCATAATTTTAAATGTGCAAAAAATTTTTTAAAAGATGTTTTTTTTTGGTAAATGTAAAATCTATGAAATTTTTGCACATAATTTTTTTACAGCGACTAGAAGACTACAAACTGATTTGTGAATGAATTGGTCACTGTTGATTTAAGGCTCCAAATGAATCAATTGAAATTGAACTGATTCAATTTGAACTTACTTGGATATATAATTTGATTCAAACTGACTGATTTGAATATATATATAATTGATTTGAATCTATATAATGAATGATTTTATCTGATTCAAATTAGGGCTGGATAAATGACTTGATTCAAATTCACTATATACAGTATATACTTGCACCTTTTAAAATGCCCTTCCACCAATAATTAAGCCAAATATGGTACCTAATTGTATCTACAGACAAACTGCATCTAGTTGATGTAATTAAACCAGTACCACCAGAGAAAATCCTTTCAACTGGGATGCTAGATGCTGAAATAGCAAGATAATTCCTTGCCATTTTGCTAGATGAGGATATTCTAGTTTATAAATTATTAATGATTTAATTTTACCTTTATATTAGCTGGGAGACAAAAAACTTTACCTTGTGAAAACTTGAAGGTTTTTTAAAGTATTATTAATTTTACTTATAACTTAGCCAGTAACTTTTGAGAATTTTTTATATAAACTTTACCTAGACCACATCCAATATAATCCTGTTGCAGTGTTAAGTATGACAAGTAAACCTCAGTGTTAAAAATATTCCTGCTTGATAATCTGCAGTGTATTTCAACTTTTATTTATTGTAACCTTCTAAACTTTTCTTTAAAAAGGTTGCAATAACCACTTTTTTATTAAAATGATTTATTTGAAATGTTTACACATTAATATATTTTACAAGAAATAAAATCTGGCTAATCTGAAATGATCATAGTAAATTTGGGGGGGGGGGGTGAATTTTGATAAATTAAAAAATAATCTTAATAGAGTTAACATCACCAACATTGTTAAAAATAGAATAGAGTATTAGGATAAGATGAGGTGTTAGGATAAGATATGGTAATAGGATAAGATGGAGTATTAGGATAAGATGAAATTTTTCTGTGTTTAAGTTGTTCATCACTGGGCATTTTTATGATTTCACTTGGGATTGTAATTTTTTTCTTTTGATATCTTACAATGAATGTTGCCATCACAATGAATGTTACTCCAACAACAATTGCAACTACTATTGCTACTATGTAAACAGTGTTTAATGGTATTGATATTTCTGATTGTGATGATGATGGTGGTGTTGATGTTGTTGATGTTGTTGATGT